ATTCCAATGCTCAGCGCATTGACAATAATAATTGGAATCAATCGTTTAAACGCGATAAGGAAAGGGGTTGGACACTGCGATTTACTAACATCCATGATATCCGCATAACGGCGTCATGTTATACCAAAGGAAGCGCTAAATGTCGCACTCTTTGAGTCTGACAAAGCTACACCTTGATTTGACTTATGGCATAAGAAAAGACTCTCCCAACTCTCAGTTCACTCCAACAATTCTTGAATGAGGACACCACTTTAGACAACCGCAGTGAGTTACTCTACTGGTTTAATGTCGCAAAGACATTGGTGACAGTAGCACAATGAGGACACCAAAAAATAGTCCTCGCATATTGCGTACGGACAGCTTCAATGCTGTAAAAATATAATTTTTAAATGTGTGTACAGTTGAAAACAGTTCTCTATATGCCAAACAATGTCCATTGACTGTATGCATCTAAAAGAAATGGAATGTGGGATGAGATTTGACTCATTGTTTGTCGATGATACGACGTTTTCGGATGGCAGAGCCCAAAGTCTGGTCCTAAAAACCATGCCGTCTAGCCGACACTCAAAGTGCCAGCAAAACCAAACCTAAAAGGTAAATAACTAAGCAAAGCACTGAACAGCCTGCTTTCCTTTTTATGAGTGTCGTCTTCAAAGCTCTTTTGCACCAAATTCTCGCATCAACCATCAAAGCGTAATCCTTTTGTGAGAAAAACTCTCTCTAACAAATCCTACCAGTCTTCACCGCTGAAAAGGCACTTGATTTAAACGTCGTGTTCTCCTTATACGAGGTTGGGAGGTGTCCCGTTAGAGAATCTCATTTGGTGAAGGGAAGGTGGACGATGTGCACAGTCCGAGTTTTCGTCATCGAATGTAAGGTAGGATTTCAAGTAATTCCAAGGCGATAAAATATTACGCTTACTCCTGACTGCCACATTTTCTCCCGATTCAGTGCTACTTAGTCATAAACACCTGGTCAAACACCATCCAGCAAGAAGGGAGACAGAGGGGAGATTGCACGTGCAGTTAGGCGACATCTTCTTACTGTTTTCGTAGACACCTCCGCCACGGCCACAACTAACATTATTTTGATTGTCAACAGCATTCCCACAAAATTCAGAACTGGGTCGCAGTCTAGGGTAGACGCCATTTTCATCCGTTGCCGGAGGAGTTATTGCAGATGCGCCTATCTGCAGTATATGCACTTCTTTCGTTCTGCTATGATTTATTACTCTGCAATAGAAATTAGGGTGGATGCCCTTTAGGCTAAGGTTTTGCTTTCCTATGCCACCAGCGTAGGGTCTCATGACTTTCCTGAAGATGAACTAAGTCACAACAGTAAGGCCTGATATGCATTTAGCGAGGCATAGAAGGGCTGCCAAAATGCATCCCATGGGAGGCACACAAACGAGCGTTATGTATCTGCTTAATCAAGATCAAGTTTGGAACATGTATTAAAGCGTTGCAGCTTGAATGCGCAATCATTCACGTGGATGAGTTTTGACTCAGACAGCAGCCATACTATGCCCACTTATTATGAAGTCTAACTATTATTTGTTTTAACAAATCCTCTTGGAGCGCAGAACCCTAAAAAAAGGAAACAGTACACCAAATCAAGCGCACTTACGCCACTGACTTCAAGTAGGAGATGGACGATTTGCGACTTGAGCCAACCTCTTACCTACCAGATGTCTGAGGTCCGTGAAAGTGGGCATTAATCTCCACAATTGTTAATCCACCTCACAACCTCAACGTCGACTTGCGATTTCAACAGTGGAGCTGATAGTTCCGCTCAATTTTAAATGGCGAGATAAGTAAAGACACATAGGAGAAGCAGTAATGACTTTCTTTGGACGACCAGACCACACTCTTGTAAAATCATTAAAGAGCTCGCCTTTTGCATGAATTTAAGCCTGCCTTTTGGCATTCAAAATGATCACAAGCTATCAACTTAGCTATTCATTCAATCACTTCAGGATTCTGTAATTGTGTGGGGTATTTAAATGCTCTTTTTGGTTTTTTTTTAACCCTGCAGTTTGATTAAGTAGGCACCCGAGGCATTGCCTTTGCACTTCAGCCGACTTCAATGTTTTCGGGACACTCCGACTATCTGCTTTCTCTCCATCAGTAATGCTATTTGCAGCAGTGCTACTACAACTTCGCACATCAGGAGATACTCGCTATTTTAAATACAAGTGAAGTGCGAATTCCAATCCTACTACTGTCTCTATACAATAGCTGATAAATGTGTGCTGGAGTTCCATACTCATCCATGCACTTCTCTCTGTCTCAGGAGTTTTGGTCCCCACTTTCACGGAATGGCTTCCCACTCATCACTTCTACTAACATTCCATCAGCCCACCCGGATTCACAACTCACAGCCTTCTTAGAAGAATGGACAAGAATGAATACTTCACAAAACTTTCCTGTCGTCGCGAATTAAGGAAAAGCATGAACGACATGTCTTCATATGCTTCCTACAGTGTAAGCTAGAGGTGGGTGTTTAAAGTTGAACGGAAAGGAGGATCGTTCTAAGGCTGGGTTTCTAACAGAAACAAAAGCTGTTTAAAGGATTTGTTTGACAGGAGGCTTTGAAAGCTACAATGAAATATGCGTCGCGGAGCCTCGGAAAACAGCATTGTTGATCCAAAGTGCGCATTTCGTACCAGAGAACACTCCACTCATTGTTTCAACGGCCATCTGATAAGTGATTCTCGACCAGAAATCCATACCGCTATTCTTTAAGCAGGACGCCAATAGGTAAAAGAATGTTCGATCTGGTTCCGAATTATAAGTTTGGCAGTAAAGTGATGAATGCATTAGCCAGTACAAATTATGCTAGGGACTCCTCGGCTGGGAGAGATTGCGAACTTCTCAAAATAGGCGCGAAAAGAAGCCTACCATCACCACTCGTCGAAACTTTTAGGAGTCACTTCTTAACGAGTATGCCTAGTGGGGACTGAAACAAGTCAGAGGTTTGAATGTCAAAGTCAAATTTTCCCCTTTAGTTTTAAAAAGCTTAAAAGAATTAGAATTCGAGGCTCCCCGGTAAGGAAGTGTTCAGTTTTCAAGGCAGTTTTGGGCATTTGGTAGGTGAGTGGCTACAACCAAAGTCCTAGTCAAGCTCGACTCAACATCTGAAATGTGCTTCATAACTGTCATCCATGATCTTGAATTAATGCGATTAGTAAACAAAGTGACGATGTTTGCGCATAAATTTTGGAGCATTTGGTCATTAAATTCGCCTAAGCGCAAGCAATGTGGTCTAAGAACTGATAGAATGAAGTCCTCGAAACAAAAATAAACATTAACTTCTGTTGTAGTAATTCTAGGCACAATAAATGTCACAAAAAATATTATCTGCCCAAAAAATGTGTATGCGGATTAAGGAACAGCGACTTACTTCAGAAGCTTTTTGGCGTATTACCTTGGCAAGGTAATGTCATCCCTAGGATTATATCAAAAGTTCGGATCCCATTTTCCTGAAAATAAGCTTATTTTGCCCCAGCACTTGCCTTCAATTACCTTGAAGGAACTCTTGGGGCGCTACACTACCAATAGTAGATGCAATGAGTCATTCCACATCCACTTCTCTATACAAGTTAAATAATAAGACGATTGCGCAACTTTGTGGAAGAGGGGCAGAATAAACGGTAGGTCTGATTCTGACCATAGCATGAAATGTTTGTAGTAAACAGGATATACCTCTACACTTCCCGTTAACCTCTGATTTTATACTCGAAAACAATGAGGGTCCATATGGTTGCTACGTTGAATTTATAGGTCACCAAGTTTTAAAGGGAATCAAATTACAAATCATTCTAAGAGGATAAAAGACTCAACTATGCCGTACGGGTACTGTAGGCGATTTCACTGTGAAATTAATCACGAATCAGTTAACATAAGGCAGCAGAGGTACTTAGAATACACTTTATTTGTTTGCTGTTTGTTCAACACGACTCCTCTACGACTACCATCCCGGTGCCCACTGTTTGTGACACATATATGAGATTAAAAAGAGGCGTGTCGATATTAGGTTGGAGATTCCCCAACTTCTTCACAACAGAAGAATTGAAAATGACGTCTGCACTTAGCTCCACTCAGTCTCCCTGTTCTACGGGCAAGCTATTATCAATTGAAGCGACACTATCGTGGGCCATCTAGGAGCGGAATTTCCCTTACCGAAGTTGCGAATAGATGTAGAAGACATTGAGATGAACCACTCTTCCAAACGGGCTTGTGTTTGTTTCCATTCTCCACGTTATTATCTTTTTCGTCCAGTGTTTCAGTCTCTCTTTAGCTGCCTTTGGACAGAATATAAGTTCAGATTCAATTAAAGTAGCTGAGAAGGCCAAGCACAACATCTCAGCCCCAAATGGCCATTGCGGGAAACACACAGAAGTCGTCCAAAAGGAGGGGAGGTGCAATACCTTGTTACCTTACCTACTTGGATGACTTGCGGGCGCTTTAGGTATTTACCTTGCTCTTATGCACTTGGACTGACCTTCGGCTCATGCTACAGTCAAATATCTCCTTTCTTGCTTTATGCCTTCATCAACCCGATGGAAATTCTCCAGCAGGTTACATCTAGACAATGCCAATAGCAGACCCAAACTATGTTTCAGACGTACCAATTTTTCCAGTTTCAGAAGAAATTAGGGACCACTAGACTTTCTTGAAAGTGAAAGGAGAGAAGCCGCAAAACAATACATCTAAATTGGCAAATCAAATATTAGTCACTGTTTTTTTGAGAATAATTCATGATTTATGGTTTCATTTTTCTTATTGGTACGATGTTTCAGGCATCTGAATTTCGCTAAGTGATATCGCAGCAAAAACACTTTTCAGAATTTTAGACTGTAAATTTATCTGCGATCACTAAAATGTTTTGTTGGCCTTCTTGTACCGGCTATAAATGCTTTTCAAAGTTGCCAAGTTTGTCCTTCACTAGAGCCTTGACCCTTGCGGGACGCTTTTGGTAAGGCGCCTGAGTCGGAGGCAATGCTTTCGCGAGTGTGTAGGGCGTTTTCTCCCTCACGTTTCGTGACAATCTTAAAGTTACCCGTTTCCACGTACCACGAAAAAGTATTGGATCATTATGAGAATCCTAGGAACGTTGGTTCTCTCGATAAGAATGATAGGCACGTTGGAACAGGACTTGTTGGCGCTCCAGCTTGTGGTGACGTGATGAAACTACAAATTAAGGTTAGTTGATGACACTGTTTTAAGGCGGTCGTAAATTGAAGAATAAACGTCATACCCGGAGCAATTTATTATTGGGTACAATGGTGGTAATGCGTGTTAGGTTCACATACCTGCAATCCACATTCGAGGTTTTCGCGCACCAAGGCTGCTTAGAATCGAATAAAATGAGTTTTTCTGATGGATTTAGTAAGCAGTCGCATTTCATTTTAGGTAGATGATAAAGGTCGAATCGTGGACGCAAAGTTCAAGACTTTTGGCTGCGGTTCAGCTATTGCATCGAGTTCCCTTGCAACCGAGTGGGTGAAGGGTAAAACCATCGATGAAGCCTCGAGCATTAAGAATACTGACATCGCAAAAGAACTCCGCCTCCCTCCCGTCAAGCTTCACTGTTCTAGTATGTCTTTTTTGTGCCTTCAAATGAATTCTAACTGCTTACATGTCAAGCCACCAAACTGTCGAAACATGAGCGAGTAAAATAGCTTTATCGATGTGAAGCTTTTTATAATAATCTGGCAACATTGGCTGATCGTATTTTGGAAGTCAAGTCCTGTGTCACTTCTCACTCGTTCATTTTGAAAACTCGCCTTCTATGGTATGACTTCAACTTTTATGTTCCAATGGAAAGGACGGTTAACGCTTACAAGTACTCAAGCGTGCTAAAGTATTTCACTTCGCAATAAAATGACTTAGTGCATAATCCTTGCAATAATTACACAGGTATAATCGTATATCCGTTTTTTACTGCTGCCCGATCACGCTGCTCAATTATTGGTACTTAGTACAGGTACTAAATGTAGACTATGCTAACTAAATTTTCCGTGCTTTTTCATGCCATGTGGTGCGGACGAGGTCACTTGAAGCGCTGAATGACAATGATCGTAGAATCGTTATCTTTTACTTCGTAAACATCCATTTAACTTGGTTAAGGGATTATGCATGCGTGAAAGTAGTGCTTTGGTCCAACTTTATTAAGTCTTAGGCAGATGTAATGTCTGCTATCAGGAACCGTTTTGCGTAACCACATAGTTGTCAATGAAACATCAAAAGCAGCGAAAAGTCACTCCGATTCAAATAGCATTTCTGATTCGCGCAGAGTTCTGATGAGAAAGTGGGTGGTCCCCATGCTGTTATGTTGGTATTCCGCAACATTTTCTATTGCAGCTTTTTGGTATTCGTGCACATTCCAGGCAGTGGTGTCTGTCCTAAAAATCAGATAATTGTCGCTTCTCTTAAGTCAGGTAAACTGAGTGGTTTTGACTCTGTTTTAATTCCTAATGGTTTATAGATTTGAAATTCTCTCATTCATAGATAGCCTTGTTTCAGAAGACTAAAGAGTTGTTTAAACCGCCTTTTCTGTTTGCTGCATATGACGTGTTGTGTATTTTTCCATCTCATTACGTTATGGGGACCGAAGCTACGGCCACGTGCATAAGCATCTTCTTGGTCGTTGTGATTGGTTGTTCTTATACCCTGAGTTTACAGCAGCTTTAGAATTAATTCGTGCCTAGAGGCGATATTGAGATATACATTGAGGTTTTGTGCATAAAACTTGGTGTTAATCTGGCTATTTGTCATTAAAAGCGCTTTAAAATTGTCGATTATACTTTACCATTATTAATTTATTCATTTAAGTGCTTGCAGAGGATGCGATTCGTGCGGCAATTTCTGACCTGAAGGGGAAGCAGCAGCAGAAGAGCAACGATTCTTCTAAGACCGTTAAATAGACTCACTTGTTCCTGTTTGATTGTATTTTTCTATTTCCGGAAGGCTTGCATCCGTGTATGTACTTGCTACTCAGTGGCGTTGCAGTAGCATACAATTAGCTTGGTTCCATGTTCAGGAACTGTCTTACCTGTTCTAAATGTCCCCTTCTTTTCTACTAATCACTCATGTGAGACATGGTTTATTCATTAAATTGATCAACCTTAAATTCGTTTTCATATTGGCATCTTTAGTCTGGGCTGCTGATTGGTCATTGACAGCCTTGGCACTTGCAATTTAGGTTTTTTCATCACCCCCAATGAATATTTATTTGTTGGTCGATTTAGACTGCGGCTTTACCTAATAAACTCCTTAAATACTCCAAAACTGGGGTTTTTCAGTCTGGTCCCCGTGGTTGAGTGTGTGGGGGCGAACGGTGGGTTTCAAGTTGGTTCACCTGCGAGGTATTATGGTTTTCACTTTGCTCGTTTACCAACCCTTCCGTGCGATTGCAACAAAACTTTGTTACAACAACAGTGCAGCCAAAATGTAATGAAGCTCTACGCAGATGGCTAAACGCGTGGGGTGTGGCTGATAAAGGCTCAGTGTTTTGAGGAGGTCTAGGCTGTAGCTGATTGAAACGTCCAGCATAGCTTTGCAGGAAGCGAAATCAGAAACTGTGCACGGCAGTTCGTTTGGACTTCTGGTCGCGAGTAGAGCTCTGAGGAATGGCTTTTTTAATCCCCAAATGTCAATGGCGTTTTTACGTCTGCAACGGTTTTGCTGATTTTTAATGGACTAGATTAATTACATATGACCGCTAGAATGAGAATTTTGGCTCATCCAAGTGATTCATGGGTAGCGGAGAGTTAAGTCACGAAGTTCGATGGGGAAGCTGGTTCGTGGGTCCTTTGTTTTGCATGGGGGGCGAATGAACTTGGAACAGATTTTGTGAGCAGATAACTCTATCGATGACTTTGCGCTGATTTAGTGAATTTTGCGTTTAGTATAGATCAAATGAGATTCTAGTAGTGACTCCAAGTTTTGCAGTTCAAAAGAGGCATTTGAAGCCGAGGTATACAGCAACAGTTACCATTGATGGGATTGCACCTTCCGTGCTTGTTTACAAGCATACAAGCGCAGTGCTGAGCTTTTATTGCATCAGATCTGCGGTGTTTCATTGACGATTGGGTGAATAGGACAGGAAGGGGAATTCATTAGCTGTTAGAGAGAAACAACTCGTGCGAGCATTGTTTGTGCTTGGTGTCAAGTGAAATCGAATAGATTTCGGAGTGGATTATGTGGGACAGCTAACATTTCAGACGGTATACTTCACATTTATTAACACAACTGCTAACCGGTTCTCGGAGAGGAGTCGAATCATAACACGATTTCTTCTTTGGTTACATCAATGCCTACAAACTTGTGATGACAATCAGTGTGTCCTTTACCCTTGGTCCAGTTTCCTGCTACCACGAAAGTACCTCAATTATCTCCAAAACCACGGAGATTATTGTCGTTAACCCAGATGTGTCATATTTGGCTCCTTCTTAGCAAAACATGGCTTTGCTTACAGAGTGGAGCTTTGAACTTAAGCAGGCGGCGGTCTCACTGATGGCTAGTAATTCGTGACTCAAAAGCTCAGGATTAAAGAAGACTTTTGAGAGTGATGTCGCACTTCTGTAATCATCGTGTTTGGCAATATGGCTTTACTCTAATAACTTTTTAATTTCCTAGAGATGGTTTTTTTTATTATTTGCCTCTGTGATAGCCAGATCATGGCCTTGTGGATCTTGTTTGTAATCGGCATTGTCCATCCAAAGTAGTGCGTCAGAAAGAGATGTTGTCTATCATCGCATAATTTAGTTTTGAAACGCCGTATTCGTCGTCCACGCAAATTGACGCTCCAAGTCTCATTATACTGACTACAAATTCACAACTCTGCCCTTGGTAGTTGAAAGCAATTTAATGCTGATACACTAAAAGCTTTCATTTTGCATAAAGTGGCCTAAAGGCAAAACATTCTCCACTGTCATTATAAGGGTTTCCTTTGTGTACTTGAGATAGGATCTTAAAGCTGAAAAGCGTGAGAGAAGAACTAGGCGAAGAAGCATCCTCCCGTTTAAACGATGCCACGAAGTCTTAATTATTAAAGTTTTATCACCACCTCAGTCCCTCGTAAGTGTCGTTCTGTTTACCTAGCACGGGAAAGTCAGCTGACATTGAATGTGTTTGCGGGTGAATTCATCTGTATCTTCGTTCGCGTCAGTTGAGTGTGCTCAAATTATGATGGATTAAAAGTATCACATTATTACACGTGACTGCTGCAGTGCGGGTTGGGCATCGTGGGAACTATCATCGCTGGTAGATCCTTCGTTCGTTGCACCGCACTTGAGAGCCTCCAAAGAGTCCACGAAATTCATTACCCAGCACACGCTATTCCGTGTACGCATCGTCACCTGTTCCCTTGTTGAGGCCATCTAAAGCTTACATTTCCAATCCGCACTGAAAATGAACAAGAGGGAGCGTACTGGTTGTAAAATTGCCATGACAGCACTTTGATACGTGTTTATGTACCTAACAGGAACAGTGCAATGGCTTTGTAGTGTATCGAGATGTTTTGTGCCGTCCATACTGCAATAATTACTCAATCTTAAACACCCACCATAATGAAGGCTTTTGATTGACATATTTTTACTCTGACATGGGTTGCCTTTTGGACAAAATGCGTTAATGCATGGGTCTTCTAACTCAGCGAGAGTAATTTATTTTCCTTCTGCTTACTAGCCAGTGGTGTATGCATTTAGAAGGCAGATTTGGCGAAAGGACTGTTCAACAGAGAAAACCATTGAGATCACCCCCATAAGTCAGAGCAATGTAATGAGTTGTATGCCGCAAAACGAGCTCACCATGACCTATTTTACTGGATTTCGGGATTTCTCACAAATTAATCCAAAAAAAAGGTTTTTAGAAGCCAGATAGTTGGATAGGGTTTGGAAAATGCACGATTGAAGGAGGGAGGAATTTTAATCGAGACCGTGTATAGTACGAGATTGGGGTTATCTTGGTTTTTAGTTCAAAGGCCGTGGGCTCGATGGGAACAATGCTGAAGGGTAACGCAGTGCTTCACTTCGTTTTGTTGCTCTAGTAGGTGCAGAGCGAGATGATCCGACCACCTTGTACATGCCTAAAACTTTCCGATCATTCTTCACGTAAGCGATGCACATTCCGTGCTAGTTCAGTCTTCATTCGCCTTCTGGGAAGTTTTTCAGCACTGCAATTTGCCATGATATAAGAAGAATTTGCGCTGTGCTAATCAAGACATGAAAGTGGAGTAACAGAGTGAAAAGAGATTGTAAACTGTTCAGTACGGCATGGTCGCTCAAGTGTTCCCATCATGGTGTGAATTCCGTCTTCTGCCCATAAATTCCAACAATTGTCATCTCTTTGCATTAGATAAACCCAATTTTCAGAAATGGTGAGCACATTTAGCACAGCATTTACTAAGCAGTGGAATTCAGTTCTGGCAAGCCATTCAATTCTTGCTCAATTGTTCATCACTTTTAAATAATCGTTTATAAAATGTAGCAGCGTATGTTAGCCATGACTTTGCCTGATACAAAACCCAGCTCAGACGTTAAATTTGCCGTGAACATACTCAAATGGTGGTGGGTGGTGGAGGTAGATCTCTCTGCTCCATTAAGCCAATAGTAAAATTTTAACATTTGCCTTGTTGAAGGACACCCTCGCCAGTTCTTTCACTCCATCCCACTTTCCGACCTCTTGGGCAATGTACCGATTTGTATGTCTGAATAGTTACAGTCGCCTAAGCAACCAATGCACACGACTACCAGAGGGCTGGAATGGGACGGGGAGGCGCGGGAACGAAAGCGAAATGGAGTGGAGGCAAGGTGTGAGATGAACCCACAGCACCACCAATTGGAGGCTGGCGTGAATCGGCCAATGGAGACCTCATGATAAACGGACAAATACCATTAATCCATCAAAAGTCGACTTCAAAGTCAGTTTAAAAATCTACCCACCAACGAGTATGTCGCTTGTCTTTGCTGCAGGCAAGAAGAGTGCTGCCATTGTGAAAGGGCGGGAAGAGGACTCAAGAAGAGTTAAAAGAAAGACCAGCACTGGCAGTGATGCGTAAGTCAAATCACCTCATGATCGACTAGCTCTTTTTGAAAAAATGTTACCTTTTATTTAATAACTTGTAAAACTGAATTCGTAGGTGGCATCTTGTGATGCAACCGTCATTTTAATAGCAAAACTCGTGACCGTCAATCATTTGCTTGACTTATCAGTTGACTAAGTTACATTTTGCATCACCATGTCCATCTACTTAAATGTTTCGGTGAGTTGAAGCTAATGTGGTGCCGATCGACTTTGGTCGCCTTGTTCTTCTCTAATTACTTAGTTTACTTTTGAATAACTCCAGTGTTGGGCGCATCCTTACAACCTTAACCACCAACTATGCCAAAATTGAGACGCATTAAGTCATTCATTGTGGTAGAACAATGAGGGCGGCACCAAGAGAAGGGCAATGTGATGCCAGGTCAGTGTGAACGTCTCCTTTCACTCCGTACTCCAATAGCAGACTAGTGAAAAAAGAGCCAGCGGTACCACCCTCGAACTCACCAAATTTGGTGACAATGGGAAGGCGATGGGTGCATTTTTTTACAGCAAATTGTTTAGCAGGAAAGGTGGATCTCTTCCAACGGTCAGGTGTCAGCAAATGATGTGAGGAGCATCGAAATGCTCACCAAATTAAAGGGCTTTATGTTGATTGAGGCGATACAAAGCAAAAGAGTGATTAAAGAGTGGTTGAAATGGAGGAGTTTTTGTGTTTTAGAGCGCCAAAAGAGACACTGCCAATTCTTCTTCCAGTTGTTCACCTTGCAACCCAATTCATGAGGTGAATTTACAATTCCCTCTCAGAACTTGGCTTTCCAATTATTTATTCTACTTGTTTCAGCTATAAAGTATGCAAATGTTGTCTGTCAGTGAGGTGTTGAAAAGTTGAATGAACTTAGCCATTCTGCGGATCAGATATGGGGATAGTTCTCGACTCATTTTTTCCTTCACCACCTGCCTTGCTAACAAAGTTTTACTATTGCCATTTTGATGTAAGGAAAGTTACCAGTCCCACAGGCATCTCATTTCATTCTGGCATTTTAATGGAGAGCGGAACGTGCAAAAGTTGGCCATGAAAGCGTAAAATAAGGCGTTGCTTATTTGACACTAATGCAGGTCCGTCTGTGTCTACAAGCCCACAGAAGACTTTGTTGTATGGAATCCTCAAATTGAAGGCAAACAGCAGAGCATTGCACTGAGTAAGTTCAGCATTCCTAAGCTTGCTTGCAATGGCTTGGCGAACACTTTCTTGCATGCAGTAATGCGGAATCGGTGGGGTAATGGAACATCATAGTCTGAGCTTTGATGCGTGTGAATGCATTTAAACTTGCATTGCCTAAACCTCGACGCATAACAGCACTTTCTGGGGACGTACAAACGTCAAAGTGACATTTATTCATTCATGCCGCAGAAAAGAGGCAGTCAATGGGAAACACTAATGCCACAGACGGATTCGTAAGATTATTCGCCAAAATTTCGCTCTTTAGAAAAATCTTCGATGGATATATGGTATGAAGACGAACGACTAGACTATGTGGTAAGATCTTTTAATTTTGAGACTTTTCAGTGAAATAGAGCCTCTTTAATGCATCCCAGATTCCATACCCAGCGGTCTCCATCAGTTGTTGCTAGCTTTGACGTCACCACATCATTTTGCAGGCAGATACTGTCGGTTTTTGGGATTGAGTAGTTTCACAAGGTCCATATCTATTCGATTCACCAGAGACCGACCCTGACAGCGAATGTCAGACATAGTCTACTTGGAATCAAATAGCGAAAGTGGAAAGGTACTAATAGGCACCACCTTTTCTTAGACCACAACTGAGGCCAATATCTCAAGAATGGACTTCCAGCTGCACGGCAAGAAGGCCATGATTCTGCATCGCCAGGAACAATCAGATGAACAAGGCTCGTTCGAACTTCAAATTGAGGGCGACCTCATTCCCCCTTGCTCTCCAGCATCGGATACTGAAAAGTAGACACTTGTCTCTGCCTTTGCCTCCTGTTTATGCCTTTTCGTGCATCTTCTTTTCCATTCAATACCGCTGTTGATCAGCCTTGGTTGTCATCACCTTCACAGTTGGTACCACTTTAAGTCTCCCACCAAACACCATCCTTGAAGTAGTATCGCCAAATAAAGCCAAGTTCTTTAAAGTTGCCTTATTGGAAGCGTGATAAGGCCTTAGTGCCAAATGGCACCACTACTGCAGTGGGTGCTGTCTCGATTATAGTCCTGCACTACTGTGCTGGCGCCGAAAGCATTCACAGGCTTGATGATGTTGCCGACTAAGAACATTGGGTAAAATGGTAATATTTAAAATGCATGAAGACACCTGCAAGCGGTCAGATTGACTGATAAAGTCATGAGTACTCACTCAGCCACTAAGCCCTGACTGCAGTGACGAGGTCATTTTTAATGCGCCCATTTTCTGATCAAATTTCTCAATCTGTCGTTATGTTGATTAATTCAGTGATAGAGGGCAGATTCAGACCCTACTGACGTCTTAACAGAGTAGGTAACAGCAAAAGGTGACGGTGATGGTCGTCCCAGTCACGTGTAGTTGTAGCGAGGAGTTTACTTTGAACCTCGAGTGCTAGTTGGCTCAAAAAAAAGTGCAGTCAAACCGTCTCAGCTAAGAAGGCTGGACAGTCTTACAACTGTGAAGAACCAACAAAATGTATTGAAGGGGAGTGTTTTCCTGAGATCGAAGGCATACTCTAAAATTTTCTCTCCTTTTACTAAAATTGGGCTGAAAGATAAAAATATTTATTTGGAAGTTTAAGAAGAGCGGAGACACATTGTTAGGAAAGCAGTTCTCATCGCCTCTCTTGCCTCTATTTATCGAAAGTATTAAGAAGATTCCTTTAATTTCGACCATAACATAACTTGAATGCGCTTCACATCCCTTTGAAAGAAAGTAAAGAAAGCGATTCCAGTTTTGGTGGCTAAAATGGCGAAAGAATTCACTAATGGAGGGTAGCTAAGACCAAATTTGTGCGTATCAGTCGGGAGATTTGCTCATTCTCACCTACGCGTAGCAACGACCCTTCAGACCAAGGCTAAATGTGTGGTTTTGATAAAAGTCTTAAAAATGCACACATGGTGCAAGTGTAGAGCCACTCTAACAGTACATTTTTTTGCGTTCAGTGGACGTAAACAACTAAAATGGGAACAAAATATGTCGCACTGTTGTTCCTCTCTTCTATTAAACATAAAAGCAAAATTTTTTTTCCAGCAGGCGTGGCCTCAACTCCAACCTCCTCCTCCCTCCCCTCCATAAGGAATAATGGAAGTATACATGTGACACAACGTTGATCAAGAGTAGGTTACATTGACTCCACAGCAACGCCAATTAGCTAAGTAGGTCGGCCACCTGCTCTTAACCCAGAACAAACTTTGTCCGCTTTATAGTCAACGCTGATGACAAATTCTCGCCTTAATGACTCGCTTTCCCTTTGTGCAGAACAAAGGAGTCAGCTCACTTTTTGCGATTTCTATTATGAAAAACATGCTCCGCTCATGTCGGTCCCTTCACCCTATTAATCTACATGCAAAGGCATGCAAAACGATATAAATGTTTACCAAACGCCACGAAAATATGTGAAATGGCGAAAATAAAGGCGTTCGGGGTTGTGCACACACCTCAACAGTTCTAATTGTGTTCTGAGTGCGTGTGTAGCCCTCCACTACTGACTTGCAACCCTTGCCCTTCCAATGACTACCTGGGCTTAAGTTTGTCTACGTTCAATAAAGGTCACCGTAGCGCTGGTTGGATCATTGTATGAATAACTGGATGGAATGACGTTCCACCGCATTGTGATAGCTAACGAAGTGTAGGCAGAAAGTGGGTGAAATTGAGGTGATAATAATGCAATAAGAAAGGTGGATGTCGGTCTGCTAGCATTGCTGACATGTGTTGGCAAATTGTTCGCGCTACGAGACTTTAGGAGTTGACTTTTCGAGCCTGCCTCTCGAGCACTCGTTGGTGCTTTGAAACTTGCCATCTTGTTCAGTCCTCTCGATTCGTTAGGATCACACAGAGAAGCTTCGAGACTACTACAGTTCAAAAAATGGCAAAGGTCAATCAAAGTGCCACTATTGACCCATGCACTTTTAGGACACCGCATGCGAGTTTCATACAAGCAAATAGGTGTGTACAAAATATTATGCGCTTTTTAAAAATCTTCTATCCCTGCTAGTGCAGTGCTTGCCTCACTTATCCAGGACCCTTCTCTTGCAGTGATACCCTCATTGTCTAGAGGTTCATAAATTAGGCAAGTCCTCTAAGCCCATTGATTTATAAATATTTCAGTTCGGTAGAGAATGAGGGCTCGCTTTTATGAAAGAGGAGCAGTGAAAGTTACCCCAAATGCCATTAGAAAGAGTAGTAACTAAAATTGCAGGGGCAACAGATAAAGTGAATTTTGACATCTTAAGGGTTGAGAGGAGAAAACTGGGCTGCGAGTGGAAGTGAAAGTGATCAGTAAAAGGCCACACTGGAAGGAAAACTGCGTAGTGCGAGCAAGAGCTATTCATTTGGTAATGCGTTGAGTGTGGCGACACATGGTGGAGAGGCAATGAGCGCCAAGAAAATTTAGTTGATGCAAACGCATTCGTCGGTGAACACTCATAATGCATCATCGTTTTTCTTCCGTTGGTAGGAAAACTAAAGACAAGCTTTAAAATGTGCTCAGGAGGAAAATGAGACGTACAGGTGCTGTGTGTATTGGTTGAGAGCCTTGACAAATGTCGTTTGTATGAGAATTGTTTTCTTGAACAAAGCGTTTAGCTCTTCTCTTTTTAAGGCATTCAAAAAAACCTCCATTATTCACCGTACCAAGAGTGCGTTTTTAAAAAATAATAGACAACTGAACATTATGATGATTGGCTCCGGCGAAAGGCAAAGGAGGAAGTAGAATGCAAAATGTCTTGTCAAATTTGCTTGCTCCAGAAAGGTATAAACACCTTTTATGATAGCCATTGAAGCCTTTCTGCTCATTTAAACAACTGCATGAAGACCGATGTCAACGATTCCCTCACATCGTTCTTTCAAGTGGGAGAATACTAACCGCATGACATTAGACCGAAATTAGCAGCTGCTAACCTTTAATCGTTGTGTATGTTTGAGCTTCCTTTTGTAGCCATCCTGTTGGTTCGATTTAAGACTGCGACAGAATTGGCGCCAAGTAGTCGTTACTGTTGCGTCTTAGAACTTCTCTGACGACAGCACAAAACACAATACTACAGCAGAATGGGTATCTTCAAAAACCAGAATGAATTTGGAGCCCAGAAGCCAATCCAACCGGTCAAAAGACACATTGGTCAGTTATTTGGCTCTTAACTGAGATTCACAGGTGAACAGTAAACGAGTGCATTGCGCCGGTCATAATGAGAAAGTGAAACCTGCAAGGTAGCCGTAAGTCAAATGCACCAAAGTTTTTGGCCTATGACATCTATCCTTAATATGATGTAAACCTGTTCGATGAGTGATGAATTTCCATTCGAGCAGTGCCGCTGCTCTATAACTTAGTTTATTTTGCTTGCTTAAGGGGATGACTACCGGCGTCTTTATGTGTCCTTTAATGCGCTGTTTTGTATGTCGCGCCCATTTTCACATTGGATGCTGCGATTCGTGTTTGGTGGGCCCTTAACCACTTCTCGATGCACCATTATTAGCTTTATGCGATTGAAAAGCCTTCACTTCATCCCTACCATTCCCATGTAGATAAAAAGTGGTGCACACTTAATCCCACTTAGCCATTGCCAACAGTTACTACTCGCGATAAGTTAAATGCGTTGTGTAATTACAAACAAGGCAATTAATCCGGTCAACAATTCGGTAGTGAGATCGCACTTCATTCCTTCAACAATGCGAGTCACAGAGTATGAAGGCATTAAGTAGATGTTCGCCTAATGTGTCTAAATGCATCGATGCCGCTTTGGAGAGGTTTGGGTGTCACTGAACTTATAAGGCCTGAGGAGGACTAAGATTAATTATTAACTGCATCAAGTGCAGACACGGAAACAAATTCCATTCAGCCTTTAGCATAAAATAATAAATGGACAGCAGCGGAGAGATAACATGTCACGCTGCTGAAAGCAAGGAACCAACTCACCGTCAACGAACCATAACAATGCTTATGTGCAACTTCACCCTCAAAATCGCACTTGCGAACCAAAGGGATCCACTAAACAAGGGATCGCGGCTTTACATGACAGAACCTCAAGAAATATCATACGTGTGTGAATGCGACAACATCGACATTGCAGGCTCTTGGGGATGTGGCTTGACATGGCTACGCACTCATCGCAATTTTATGACACTGATCATCCAAGAAGCCCTACACGATGTTTTTGGCCAAGAGGCAAGGAGAGCTCCAATTCAGCTCTTTTAAACTCTCAATAGAATAAAAATGCGGCTACTGCGTTTGAAATATCTTGAAAGATTTTAAAAATGCAAAGCTATACAAACCGAACACCTATTAAGGTGGTTGGCAGAGCAGATGAACGGATTGTGCCACAAATCTGCTCAACGTTGAGGCGATTTGTAAAAAATTGTCAGAAGACAACAAGTCCTTTTTTCGCTCATGGCCAAAATAGGGATCTCAAATGGCTGAACAAGTGGAAAACCTTTTTTAACTTAAAATAATATCCGTTCAAATACAGCTTTTATTTAAAAGTAATGTTGAAGAACGAAACAAAAAGCTTGAGTTTGATGGCGTATTTGTTAGGCGTACTTAATTTGTTTGAAGCGTGAATCACAAGGTCAGCAGGAAAACTAATGAAGTAAGATAAGTTTGCTAGTCTCTATGCATGGCCAATCTTTATGTCACATCAGTCCTTGCTTCAAAAGTTCACAGAAAGGTCCTTTTTGGGGCTACTTAGAAACAGGCACATGTTGGAATTGCAGGTGCACGATGCAATGGCGGTATGAGTGATGAAAAACAAGACCTTGTTTAGCGTTTGGACTATCTGCGACCCTGATAGCGGCGTAGACTTAGCGAGTTTGAATCGGTGGTCGTCAACATGTCTCATGTTAAACAAAGTCGCCAACGACGTCAAGACTTTTCCATTCCCACCTTGGGCCTAATCATTTTTTCGGCAATTCCATGGATCAGTTTTAAGGTTGTAAGTCTTCGTGGAGTGGGCACCGATACAGACTTTTTACTCGTTGTCTCTATAGTGGCGACATGAGTCAAAACCAGAAGTCATCCATTTGCTTTTGCACAAGTCCACCACAAGATAGAAAGCTAAGCGGATAGTATCCGCCTCATTGAGTTAGTCCAACAAACACTTTAAGGCCTTATCTACGCTGTGACAGAAGATAGAACTACACCTTCACTGCAATACTCCCATTGTCAATCCACTGGCCGTTGAAAAAATGTCTTGTTGGAGTAAGGTAACCCAGTGAAGCATAGGTTCGATCAAGTGTTTGCAGCGCCAATGCTCGTAAGTGGGCTAGTGAAAATGACTAAGAAAGGAAGAGTTTTCTCCGTTGTACCTCAAGGATTTCCGCCTGACACTCCGAAGCTAGGCTTGGCTGTCCTAGTGCATAAGAGCGCTTCTTGTCAAAGGCGGCAAAAAATCCTTCAATCAGGAAGCTTAAAATTCTCTAAGGCCAAACATAAGTGCAAAAATATTTCGGTTATGTTGGCACTGCACTTTTCCTTTTTACAGCCTCCCCTTTGCTTTGCTAAAATGTGATTTAGACAGAAATGGGAGGCAAATTGTCAAAAGCTTTAAAAGGCATTCTATTTGAAGGACAAAACGTACCAATTGAGAGTCTTCAAAGAGATGCTAAAAACATGCAGCGGCCTAAACTAACAACGGTTTCACGAGGCGGTCACGCCTAAAAGGTAGTTAAATATGAGGTGTCGGAGAAATACGCAAATTTGCCTCAAGGATCGACATCACACATAAACCCTGGTCCTGACACTGCCTTAAATCTCCCATATTTTCAAATCTATTTTGACTGTTTGTACTAAAATGGAACTGCATCATCGTGTATCCTCCTGTTTACCACAGCTCAGGGGAGGAGCAGAAAGAGGTCAAAAGGTGAACGTGACAATCCATTAGTCTATACTCCTTACAATGAATTGTCTTCAGCTTTCAGGACAGATTCGAGGCAGATTCAAAACCGAGTAGATCTTGGAGGCCGAAGTAGAAAAAGCATGCTTTAACACTTATATGTCGATGAGTGTACCAAGAAATTTATTAGTTTTACTTTTCTATAAAATACGCGTAAAATGTCAGAGCACACTCTTGCATACTCAGTTTTTCAGCAAGAGACCTGTGAAGAGACATTTGAGACCATAGAAAAATAGCTGATTATACAGCATGTAACCTGATGGCATTATACAATTGCTAGCCACTTTCTTTTACCACAGCAACACATCATAGCAAAGGGTTTTCCGTCGTATTTAACGCGGAGGCAAAGCACTTCAGTCATTTCATTCAGCAGGATATTGATATTTAAGTCAAGTTCAGTGCTTGTTTACCGCCTCTAAGGTTCCCGCAATTCGTCTCATGCTTTTAATAGCATACTTTTACTCGTTCTCAAAACACCGCCTTTCACTAACAAAATATTTTTCGACATAAAAGAGAATTCGAACCGGTATGTGATCAAAAAGTGCTTATCACTGGTTGGATTGTTTATAAAATTTGTCATTATTAATCGACGCTTTTCGTTCAATGTTAGCAACAAGGTCGTCAATGCTTCCAAACAAAAAAGGGCGGCTCCTGATGCAAGCGCAATAACTGAATATATGGCCGTTTGGACATTAATGTTTTACATCGCATTGCCGTGGTGAATTGCTACTTTGTTTAACCACGCAAACTCCTAAATGTGCATGGATTGTACGTCCAACCTGCAACGCGGTCTCCAAAGCAAGGTGTCGCCATTCTCAGACTAACGTGCGGTAGTGTTCCATGTTGTCGTGCTACATGCGATGTGAGAAACGTGACATGCATCCAATTTTCTATTTGCACAGGGGAGTTTTAAGTAAGCTATATTGATAAGAAAGCGTTAATAAAAGTGGAAGGTGGGGCACAAGAATTGATGCTAACAGCCAGTTGCCATTATAGACAGCATAACATTTTTTAAAAAAAACATCCATATAATGCTTTTTTTATGCGATTACCTGTGTGGCAACCAACCTGCTTCTGTAACTCTTTTCACCCTTTTCAGCCCCGCTCGGTGCCTCTACTACAAGATGCGAAATCTAGAAAAGTTACAGTGATTGCAGGGAAGCCGAAATCCTAGCTTCACCACAGCAGAAGGGCCGAGCACGACACTTCAGTGAAAAATTTGGAAAAGCTCCGTTTCGGAGTTCCCTGTAGCCCCATGGTCAATGCTCCTACCTTGTGTTTCTCAAGAAGATAGTTTGCTTACAAAAGTTTCAGTTAGCGGTAAAATAGAAGGCAAGGGATAATCCAGGCGAGAATAGAAAGACAGAACCCAGTACGACGTTGTTTATTATGTCTTTGACCAATAAGGTCAATTTAAACAATATCCTCAATGCATTGCATTCTCCTTACCGAATTCGCACGTAAATGTCGATGGTGGGTAGTACAATGGCTGTATTCAATAACTTCTTGCACCGTTATACATTTTTTTAGACCATTGTTCCAACGCCTAGTTATGGGCACAGTAGATAGTCAAAGGAAGTTGCCTCAGCTACCCGTTTGGAGTCTCCATGTAACTCCAGCTCCAGACCAGGTTGATGAGAGGGTAAAATACATTTCCTCAGTCTCACGAGAGATGATGACTAGTGCGAACGGCTCGTAAGCATTATCTTGCAAAATGAATGCGTCTGGGTTAGTGTAATACTTTGGTTATGTAATCCATGTTGTCTGGAGTTTACTTTGGTATTTGGGTAGTCCATAATCTCATGAGCTGGCTTTCGAGCCAAGTTCAGATTTCATACCTTTGCTCTCCCTGGAATACCTATATTCGCCTCCACTTAGTGCCTTCTTCTACCCGGTTGGAAGTCCTGAGACGCTGCAGCCTGTATGTCTAGCTGTGACTTTGGCATTAGTCATGCTCCTATGCGTGTGGGCTAGCCTTTAGGCCAAGCCAAAATCCCAACCCATTGTCTTCGCCTTATAATGCACGCATTTGACCCAGCTTAGTTTTTTTCCGCCCCACGTGAATAAATAATGATAGAACTTTTCTTCAGGCAAGATAAATGTTGGCAGAAGTTAAATGTATTATTTCATTGGGGCACTGACCTGAAGGAAAGAAGTGAATACCATACAAAATCTTTAGGTTATCTCAACCAACATTGTAGTATCAAGCGTAAAATAGCGATCGCCATTACTCTTGAGCTATGGTAATGCTTTGCTCATTATTTCTGTTAAAATGAACTTATTTGTTAATATTCATTTCAAATGGGCGCTGTTACTGGATTGGTGTTTCCAGATCATGTGGTTCTAATTTCGGGTTCTCTCGTATGCTCCACTGACAGTTCTGCAAAATATCAACGCATTATAGCTGGAGTTTGAGGCCAGTATGAATCCGGAGTGTCTTCATTGCAAATCACCTAGTCCTCGTTCCTGCACTGAAGTTAGCTCCTTACAAAAAAACAAAACAAGGAATCGCGAAGGTTTAGTGATCATTTGTACGGCTGATTCCATTTCGTAGCTCTTGAAAGGGGTCTTTTGTGCAGACGTCCAGTGAAAGAGCTTGTTAATCAAGGGATTTTGCTTAACCGTAATGCTTATTTTTTATCTAACTCAGGGCTTCAGCTTCAATATGCAATGCTCTCAAGGTAAAGGAGTTGCAGCGGGCTAGGGTGGGTGCTTTGAAAACTCACTTATTTTGTAGACGGCCGATATTTTAAAACGAAAGATTGAAAGGCGCCCAGACAAGCAAGTTTTAATAAATCGACGAATACTTAAAGGTAACAAGAACTTCGTCTCATTTAATTGCTTTCAGCAAGTGAAACAGGTGCATCGCCATTAATTCAGGAGCGGTGCAATGCTTTAACGAAAAACCAATTGCGTGAGTCTTTAAATAGCAAGCTTGAGCGAAGGCCCGGCAGCTTGGAACTTGTTGAGAAGGGTGTTTTGAAGGTACATCATCTGTTTGTTTAAGTAATCTGATTACACTACCTGGTTTTAACTATTTTGATGCCTACGGATGTTGTGAATTGGGGTATGCTTCTGGGCCTAGGTGGATCCAGGTGTTGCGACACTCATTCGTGGTGGATCAATCCCATATCCCCGTGTGTCCTCTACGTCTCCCACGTTATTATTTACAGTTCCTGAAAACGAACCAATCACACGGTCTCATCCCCCACCGCCTCCTCCCCCTCCCGATGTACTCAAGGCTCCCCTTTCTGCTTCCCGATCAGCTGGAACCAAATCGCGTACTCCCAGCAGGTCGTTAAAAGATGAAACTGTGATCAGTCGGTACGGATCGCTTGTGTTTCACAATTACTGTCCTTCTTCTGCTGCCTCCTCCAATTCACCAAGCCTTCGAATCAACGATTCTGTCATTGGTGCCACTCACAATATTACCGAACGCCTCCCGAAGCATCGAGCTCGGGAGGTCCAACAGGCGGAACTACTGCATTTGGAGGACGCGGCACAGGCCCATAGGCGTCTGGGTCAGGAAATTTGCCAAATGAAGGGTCGTCCTCCTCATAAAATTGCTCAATCCACCCAGCTTAACTCAGTGTTTCAACAAATCGTGCTCGCTCAGCCCTCTGAACAATCGTCACCACAACAATGCTTCGTATTCTCAAGCCCAGCCCATTCCCTCCACCAGGCACTGGTGCCGCCCCCACCATCATCAGTGTCCCCTCCACCGCCTCCTCCTCCTCCGGCACCCCCTCCGCCTCCGATCCCACGTAAATTCTCCACTCAGCTCTTTCCAACCAGCCATATTTTTGGTATGTAGACTGTTTTTTTGAATGTCTAACTGATAGGCTATAACCGCGATTAGCTTATGGATGTGTGACCTTGTGTGCAGCTTTGCATGCAAATTGAGCCTCTGCTCCCATTTATGTGCAAAAATGCGTGTGGTTGTCAGGTTGTCGTCTTGTTTCTTAGATTGTTTTTCACTGCAGCCGCTACTCTTGCAACCGTATCGGCTAATCGATCCAGTTTATTTGGTTTCGGTAGTTACATACAGCGTAGTAACTGTGGCAGTTGTCTAGACAGTCCTACCCACGTTGTTCCGGTGCATGCTTGTATTTCAAGATTCCGAAATGTTCTCCCTCCAGATATTGACTTAATTTGCGTATGTATCCGCAATGAAGCTGAATTAATTCACTTAAGCTCTCTTGCCTAAGCCAATAGGCAGTGAGGCTAGCACCCGGCTGCGCTACTAATCCCTGGTGGGAAGTCGTTACATGTGTAACAGGAAGCCATATTTAATGCTTGTGGTCTCCGGTAAAATGTGTAGCCTATTCTCTGTGTGGTCTCGTTGTTACTTGACGAACACTGTAAGATCTTGAGAGTGGTCACATCGCGAAAAGGTCCCCGCTTTCACCGTACAGACGACTGGAGGAGGGTGAATTTTTGCCTTGGCCATTGGAGTTGGTTTAAGTGTATCTGACATAGTGCGAACTGGCAGAGCTAAGGGCTTGACCTGTGTATGACCCGGTGGACGGATGTCTTCGCCTCCACCATTGGATGTTTGGCCTTGCCTTCACCTTTCCCCTATATGGGTTGCCGCTGGGTGCAAACGCATGCGTGTGTTTATGCGTTCACCGGTGCCTCTGCTACTCCTTCCGGGTGCAAAAGGGACTGTTTCAGACTTTGGCCACCATCTCTTTGGGCGTTAATTGGTTACACTAACGGACGACATTTATGGCAAATATGCATTCCGGGACGTTGACTCATGGGTTGGAGGTATCAGTACATCCTTTCCCACTTCTTGTAGTTCATTTATAATTAACTCTGACATTTAATGGGCTTTCCACGTTAGGTTGATTTGGTATAATTTCTCATGTCTCTTATCAGTCGAGTCGCTTTTCTGTTTAGTCTCAATGGCTTGAAACGGGTTTGTTTAATCGCAATTTTTGCATATGAATCCAATCGATTTACGCCTTGCGCATTGCCTTCGCCTTGTTAGGTTCTCAATACCAAGCCTTACTTTTCTTTGCTTTAATCGAAATTTTGGAGGTAAACTTCGGAACCTCTATGTCTCGGTAGCTAGTAATTGGTAGCCCAATGCCTTTTGTTTAGACGCATTTGCGTTCAGCCCCATGAAATGGACTGTACACGTCTTGTGGGTCGTAGAGGCTTTTATAGTGTCAGCATTTTCCTAGTGTTACCCAATACGTGAAATCTCACCTGGATTCTTTAAGGTTTCTAAGAATTCCATCGTATTTTTATTCATATTTGCTCTTTGGGTACTATTTTTTAGTTTTATTTCCTTCTACTGAGGCTTATCAGGACTCTCCGATCAACAACTGGTCTTTGTTTTTCATTTACCTTCAAAGTTGAAAACTTTGAATTTACTAACCCTATCATTTGTGCGTTGTTATTCGGTTCTCACCGTTTTACGCATGCAAGTAGGCCTTTTCTCTACCACCCTTTGAAATTTTTACTTGCTTCACTAATGTGCCTAGAATGCTGCTTAAAGTGACAGAAAAGTAAATCACTGTTGTTTCATTTACCAACGTGTATTCGCACCTCATCTTCCGTAACCAACGTCTGTTTGAAAAATCAAACTGAATAGGAAGCTCCTACGCATGGCTCTTTCTGTATGCTAAACTGTTATGTGATGGGAAGTGTCGAAAATCCAGCGGTGTTTCATATTGTTTATGTGATTACCTACCTGATACATCTCCAGAGGTCAAAGTTTTGGCAATGATTAGCGCGCCTCGTCGTCCTGATTAATAACTCATCCCGCTCTTCATGCAACCACCTAACTGGTTTGCATTGGCATCAGTCAAACAAGCACCATTCTTGTTGCCCTAGTGGTAGCAGCAGCTCTTTGTGCTCCCTATTCGCCTTGTCTCAAATAAGCGGTAGTATTGTAAAGACCTTTATTTTTTTCTTGTTCGACTTTTCATTTGTTCAGTACGGAGTCTCTGCGGACTTTGAACCTGGAAGTGACTAGGTCGTTTGAATTATTCTTGTCTGCGCTAACTGTAGTTTAAATGCTACCTCTGCATTGGCATGATTTGCAGTGGGATACTGATCAAGGCGCCAAAATTTCTAAAAGACATTCTACGTGAACTTCTGTTATCTAGACTTATTGACAGGTTTGAGTCGTCGCTAATGCACTTAATACTTCCTTTCATTCATTGCCACCTGACTATACGGTGTTTCCTGCTCCGCATGCGTGTACACAGGTGCTAAATGCCACTTGACACCACATCGGATTCGTGGGATTCCATGCCGCCCTTAATTGCCTCCGGTGACGCATCGTGCGTTTGTGCCCGCTTGCAGCACACCTATAAACTGCTCCACTTAGCGCTATTTGAACTTCAGGGAACGGTAGTGCGACCGTATTAACCTTGAACAATGGCCGCTCGATGGCAGATGCAGTGACGCAGCAAATTCACAGTCAGCCTCGACAGCAGCAGCAGCAGCAGCATCGAGTTCTGGGCTTGGCTCCTGCTGCCTCTCTCTTAACGACCGCTCGGTCAGGCAGTTCAACTGAGTCGGTAGGAAAGGTTGCTTCTCTGGAGGAAATCGAATCGGTGTGGCTAGATCTTCGGCGTCTTCAACAAGATATCACTGAAGTGAGTGCTTCTATCGGACCAATTTGTTGTGTTCAGCTTGCTTTGGTCCCTTTCTCTATATGAGTTTTTGCCCTTTGTCTCTTACTCTAGTGAAATCACGTCTACATTCCAAATCCGTTTCTAACCCTGTGTGATCATCAGACTCTAGTGCCAATTTAGTGAAACAAATAAGTTCATCATAGTACCGTATGAAGGTGGTCCAATTTTCATTATGTTCGAGGCGCCAGATGGTAATCTGTCCGCTCGCTAATGTTCATTGCTTCTGTCTCGGTTCTGTCTAAATGCAAATATCAATTTATTTAATTGCTTGGAGGAAAGGTATTGTAGGACAGATTAATTTTTTAACGAGGTTGGTGTTATTAATGCTCCGTTTTGTTTTTCTTCTGGAATAAAATAAACTCGTCTTGGCATGTGACCGCACAATGACGATTTACTGCATTTTTTAACATTCAACTCACTTTCGCCAATTAAATCAAGGAGCACTTAGATGCGTACTTCTTGTGCTTTGTAAAACTCGGCTATTGCGCAGAAAGTGCCTCTTAAACTAAGGTTACTAAACGTGCTTTCAGGCGAACTGAGGAGCGTATGAATAAAGGTGTGTTTTGTTGGCCAGTAGAAGTATACATATGTTATTTGGTTTATTTACTGTTGAAATCGGACAGTGCCAAAGTGCACCATTGAGGTCTTCTAGGTTCGTGAAGGACAGGAGCGCTCAACGCAGCCTAATTATTTCGAAATTATGAGCTATCTACCTCCCTTATTAGCACCCATAGTTTACCGCTTCAACTTCCCACCCTAACACATCCTTTTCCTTACGTCTAAATCACGGCCTGAGGTTGAGTAGTTCTTCCATCTCAAGTCATCTCTTGAACGTACTGACAAATAGTCGCCTTCGTCAGTTTCAACATTTTCCCCCTTGCATTTTTTTTGACAAACATTACTTGGAATTGATTTTAATTCAGTACAATCTTCATTCTTCCTTCCCGTTCCCTAAAAGAGTTTAGGGGATGCATTAATGTCTATGGCTGTATGTAGTCTGTATTTTTAGCCCAAGAAAGTACTTTACTTATATCATGGGTCTGCGTACCAATATGGCAAAGCAATAGCAGAACTGAAAGTTGGCGTAACTTTTGCCGATTTACAACGAAAAATTGTTGCTTCACATCATTTTTGTGAAAAGTCCTTGCGTCTGAGAGGTGCAGCTTTTTTTCGCAAAGGATTCGCAGTCATAATGCTAAAGTCGTTACCTGACGGCGCTAAAATGAAAGTTTATTTCAGGCATCTAGGAGAAAGAATTACGCTTTGATGCCAGGTCATCCGCGTCAGTCCAACAACTTTACATTATTGAGTTTAACTTTTAAGGAGGGCCGTTGCTGACTAGTGTGTTAGTGTTGTTTCACGAAGGACGCTATGAAATATCTCTGTAAAACTGAATCTGTCCGTTTCTCATATAAAACCCTTGTTGGATTTACTCCAGCTTCCATTAATATGGGTGCCTTTGTAAGTTATTTGATTTGTATACCGAAACTACCTCTCGACTGGCCTTAGTTCTTCCTTTTCCTCTTCGTTTCGCCCTACCTGTTTACAAGTTCTGATTTCGCAGTCTTTAGTTGATTAGTTTCATACGTCTTGGTGGCAAAAAATAACATATCTTTTGGCATTACCAATTGCGTGAATCTGGAAATAACCATTACGTATATATGGAACGGCTCAGAAGCCATTAGTATGGAGGCCAAAGGGGTCTCCACCCGATGGCATCACTGCGTCACTAAAACACGTATCACCTCCGTTGTAACATATCCTTTAGTGAAACTATAAATCGTTTTCTTTAACCGCCTTGTTTACCCTCATTTTGGGGCCTCTAACTAGTTTTAGCATGGGTTTACAAACGCAAACTCTGGTGGTAGTTGTCGAGATTTGAGGAGACGTCATGACTCAAGAAATCAATGAAAATGTTTTAATGTTGAAGAGTTGTTGCTGTTCCGAAGCATTCTCATTACCTTCAGGTCTCTGAAGTGGATAATGCCTAGCTCCCATTGTCATTGGAACCTGTCAATTTCGTAAGAATTTAGAAAACGAGCCTTATTTATTCTCTGTTAATGATCACTTATTGGCTCTGTAGGAAGCATCACGGATAGGACTCAACATTTATTCCAGCGATGGATTTCCAGGAGCCTTCACCGTAGCAACTTCAAGTGAAGTGGAACCAAATCATCCGACTTGTCAGCGGTTGAATCAGCTGGTGAAGGAGCATGCCAATCTCTGCTCCCTTGCTCGTCTTCTCATCTCCGACCGTCTGGAGTTTTTGGACGAAACCGATCTCTTTCTTCTTCAGTAAGTATAGATTTTCTGTTTATCTTTCCAGTGCATATTCATTTCATCGTAAGATCTTAGTGGGAACCATTCTTGAGCAGGTAAATTTGGCAATTCCTTCTAGTAGACGATTGCCTATCAATTTCTGCTGCGTTAGCAATAGGCACAGAACCTCTTTTTGGCCAGCTTTTATCCTACTAGGTCCTTGCCAATCCACTTAGTGTATTCATAAATCAAGACCGCACCATTTTGATTCACTGAAATCCGATTCCGTTCCATTGGCGGTCATTTTGTGGAACTCAGCACCACTTGCCAAAACATCCAAACCCTTTTGTCTGTGCTTTCCTTTCACGTAGTAGTTCAGATGTCATTTCATTTTATTTTTTGAGCAAATTTGTAATATGCCGTTTTTGGATCAAAGCGTCCTTTTTTGCGATAAGCAGAAATCGCGAAGTATTTTTAACTTCTCCAGTCTTCCTTATTTCCCTCGACAAATGCATTTTGCTATTAGATATTGCGGTTGTCTCACGGTTTTTAACTTACCTTCTCGTCAATTTAGAAGCGTGCTATCAGTAGTTTTGAGTCCGCTTTAATTGTGGACGAAGGAACTTTGATTTCGGTATAAGTTGTGAATGAATTAGGTGAACTAGCGTCTCAGTGAGCGATAGAATACACCACTGCATATGGGACTGACGGCGATAGTGTGGTTTTGTTTGTGCTGCTTGTGTACCCTGAAATTGCATTGATCCTATTGCTCTTTTCTATCATATGTTACTTTTGTGCAAAGATAGACACTAAAGAAAGGGAAATAAAACTTTTTCACTTTATAAGCACTAAGGTCTTAGTTTATTCTCTCCTCTCATCTGTCTGTATCGTGGCGAAACGGGATCTCTGGTTGTGTTGATCCTCTTCGTACAAAAGCATACGCACACATACACAGAAAGCACGGGATACCTCATGCATTCTCACTATCTGATACCATGGATTCGGTTTGTATTTCTGTTTGTGGGACCCTCTCCACCCCTCCTCCTCCTCCTCCTCCTCCAAACAATGGCCGTTGTGTAATTTTATAGTGGACTTTCGGCTTCAGGGGCGAAAAGTAGGAGAGCCTTCATAGTATACGTTTGACCTTAGCCGGGAATTTTCGTGCACGACTCTGTTGATCATACTAATTTCATAAATGAGGAGGTTTTAGCTATTTTGAATTTTGTAACGTACTTTACATTTTCATTACAAAAAGATGTGCCTTGTTGGTGCCACCAAGTGGTAGCAGAGGTTGCATCTGCCTGCCCATCGATCGCGAACGGCAAATACTGGCAACTAGTCTGGACACCTTTTTTCATCTTAAAAGCATATGAGCATATCCATAGCTCATTTGCTCAGAATTATTAATGCTTGCGATAATTTGAGATCTTCGGATTGATTGTGGGTGTTGTTTGGTCTCTGACTAATGTGTAGCTTATCAATGATATGTGTTGCGTGTGTTTTAGCACCCACCTGTTTACACTGCTAGTGCATGCGTCATTTCATCATTCAATTATGTTTCTTTCTGATCCTGTCATATTATAACTTCAGCCGCGAGAGGCCAGTAGAAAAAGATAAGGAGACTCTTGATGACAGCATCGATGTAAGCTGCAATAGCAGTTTACCTGTCGATACGCAGAAGAAGTCAGTGGGATCGGAACTAGAGCGTAGTTTGCTGCAATCCTACTTGTGCCGTTTGGGTGGTAACTACTATCAACGCGGAGCAGCTCGCGCCCGTAGGGCTCGCCAACTCTCTTATCTAGCCTCATCGGGGACACCTCTTTCTTCCGATCCTATTGGCGTCAGTTCTAATACTGCGCTGCTGCAGACCTTCTGGCGTAATAGCACAATCCTTCCTGCCCATTCAGAAAACATATTCTATCAACAGCAGACCAGCCAACCTGTTTCTCAGAAAATGTGAGTGGCATTTCCTTCTCTTAATATTATCTGGCGCTGAGTAGACCGTGTTTACTAAAGCATAGCTGATCCTCTCTTCGTCCTCGTTTTGCATGGAGTTGTGTGCTCAAACGGTATCGCTGTCATGATCCCTTGTAGTATTCTCCCTTAAGAAGGATCTACGCTTCTGTTGTGGTTGCAACGGAATGAAAATCCTAATGGGAAAGTACACACTTTCATAGCATTATCCTTGATTTCTCTGTAACTATCACAAAAGGTGGATAATCACTTGTTTATGCCTGTGATTACGTTAGTGTTCATACATCTTCGTGATGAAGAATCGAGGGCATAGTAGAAGGATAGGTCAATTGACTCTTAAGCGTAGCAGTCAAGGTAATTTTGTATTCAACATTCGAATTCAGGTAGCATCCAGGGCTATGATATTGGTTAAAACTATGGATACGGCATAGTAGTAGACTTTGTGCAATATTAACTCAGTAACTGATTTACCGCTTCACTCTGTCATTACTATTTGTGGTGTATCAGTTTGAAAGCATTACTGTGCTCCGCTCCGATTCTCTCCTCCATGACAATACTGGGTTGTGGCCATTTAATTGGTTATTAGTGTCGTCTTACTAAGATCGGGATCTGATACAGCGGCTCTCCACCTTCTATTTTACCCTCTTTCGGTTGCAGTAGTTTGTTTAAGTATTCGTCGCCACAGTTCTGCTTTCATTGTGTAAGTTCACAAAAAAATGCGCATGCTGCATCAACACGCACCTTCATCTTCTCTCAACTGGAGGCCTTCAGTTCTTCAGGGCGCTATTGTACTTGACCTGAAGGAGAATTTAGAGCATCATCCTTCTTCTTCACAGGAATGGGAACATTGTGAAATTGCCCTCAGCCACAGAAGCATGGATGGATCAATTATGCACCTCTACTGCAATCCAAACTACTTTTAATCCAGTGTCATCATCACCTTCAACGGCAACAGTAGCTTCAGTTCCGGCCCCAATCCTTCACACCACTTCTTCTATGCCAGCGAATCTACATCTTGTTAACGCACCCGCCACCATGGTTCTGAGTTCTGCTATGACCGATCCCTTCTTCCCTGCACCCCCAACCGCTTCTGTTACCAACGCCGCATCTGCTAGCAATGGAGGACAGGGAGAAGTAGCTGTCTTTCTCCCTTCCACGAGTGGCAGTTCTAGCAGTTCTGGGCCAGTCCTCACTGCTGAGGGTTCTTCTTGCTCCATTCCTACCTCCTCAAATGGCCAAATAGCCGAACCAACTCGAGACACCCTCATGGCTATGGAGGTAACGTACACGCATGCCGGTGTTGTTTTTTATCTCATCTCGAATATGCATCTGAATTCCTCTTCTGTGTCCTTAGTTCTCTCCAACTGATCTTAACGACATACCATCGCCACCAAGAGCGGAGACTCATGATATCTCCGATGTACAGGACTTCCTCAGCGCATTTCCCTTAGATGAGGAGGTGATGGGATTCGGCGCTGCCTCCCCAGTTATCCCCTCGACTACTACTGTCACTTCTTTTGACTCGGAGCTTTCTTCTGACCCTCATTTATTCGTACCACCAGACGCAGATCTCTTGTGGCGCCAGGGTCTCATGGACATATCATAGCCTGTATGCACATGCTTGCCTGATTGTTTGCTTTCTCCTAATCACACAGCGCGCCCTTGTCTTTCACTCAGATCTAAATCTGAAATACTAGCCAAAACCTTCACTACTGATATTATATAAGTAGAAAGGCATGCGTAAACGCGAAGGTTTAGGGCTCACTTCCTTGCCCTCGTCCTTTCTTCCTTCTCTTCCAAAGAAATTAGAACGTTTCTAGCCCAATTTCCCTGTAAATTCTCGATAGCAAATATGGCCCTTGACTTTTCACTATGGCTTATTGAATTTTGACTTGGATGTTCCTTATTTCAAAGGTAGGTGGGAAAGCCAGGGCACATCACTAGGCAACTTCCGCTCCTTGTGTGTAATGCTGTTGCAGTTGTTGTTCCTGAGAGTAATTTGATGGAAATGGAGGGCTGACGGCCACAAAGCACGTGCCACAAGATTGAACCAGCATTAATTACACTTACTCTTTTTTCTCACAACATGAGCACTATCTAAACTAAATGCTTGGCAGTTCAGTCAATATCTATTGCTATCAGTAAAGAGGTCGAAAATGGAACGGTTTTGTAACTATACGCCACTGGAAAGTTAGAGCCCATAGGAATGGGACTGATTGATTTAACGATCACGATTAGCAATCGATCATTGACTCAATTTTATTTCGACGATATTCGAAATGCCTACTGCTTTGGGCAAAAGCGTACTGGGGTATGAACTTACTGACATTCTCAATGTTGCTGGCGACGCTACACGTAGTAACCTGCTTGGGAGATTCTATGATGGGCTCGCCGATTTCGTCTACATACTGAAACTTCGTAGTGATCTGCTCAATGAGTTCTTTGATCGTACGAGTGTGCCGTTCAAGAAAAACTCTTTCCGTCTTGTGTTGTTCTACCAAAGTCTTCTACTGGCTACCATTATGATTGGAATGATCTCAATGATTCCTTTTGGTAGTTATCGGTTTAATGGTATCCTCCTCTACTGCGGTTTCTTCTTGACTGGCCTTCTCACTCTGCTTACAGTCTTCAATCTTTCTACCACCACCTATGCGTGGCTGTCGATCGGTTTCACCTCAATGGTGGGACTCAGTGTTCTCATTTATTTCGGTACCATCTCTATAGCTCTACCTATCCAGAACGCCCTTATTACTTTGCTTATTTTCATAGTTTATGTCCACCTACCAGTCTCACTTGCGTTCTCTGTAGCATTTAGCTTCCTTATTTACGCAGGTCTTGCAATGCTAGACACGTTCAAATTTCTTCACGGTTTTGCTGCTCGCCATATAATTGCAGAGCCTGACCAAATGGATCATGACAGTCGTATTCGCACCATTTCTACGTTTTGCTTTTACCTCCTAATTGCTGCTTCATTCCTTGCAATCTACCTCAAAACCTTCATCTCCCTACGTCTCAAGGCCTCATTTCTACGTGTATGTCAAGCTGTTCATATGAACGCAGAGCAGAAGAAGGCCCTAGCGGAACAGACAGTTTGGATTGATGCTGTGATGCCCAAAAAAATTCGCGCAAAATACTGGCAAATGCTGAAACAACATCGAGATGTGGATAAGTCGCTCTGGGTGTTTTGTGAGACCTATGATCCTGTATCGATTCTCTTCTCCGAAATATCTGGATTCACCACACTTCTAGACAGTTTGTCGGCGTCCAAGCTCCTCTTTCTCTTAAACTCTCTCTTCATCAAATTCGACAACCTCTGCTTTAATTGTGGTTGTGAAAGGATAGGTACGCTGGGCTCCATTTACTATTGCGTCAGTGGATGTCCAAGTCCAAGAATCGATCATGCCGAATGCTGTGCGAATCTTGCTCTGCTCATGATGGACGTTGTGAAGGGACTGAAATATGAGTGTCATATTGAGCTAACCCTCTCCGTCAGTATTCACACAGGCAACGTTAATGGAGCACTGGTGGGGATGGATAGGTTTCACTTTGACATTTATTCATACAGTGTACTCACGGCTCAAAAACTTCTGGCTACTTGTCCATCCGGTCACATTCATATATCTGGTGATTTTGAACGTCTCCTTCCTGCGTCCTTCAAGACTAGTCCTGCTCAAGAGATTACAGAGAAGCGAGAAGTGCAATCAGCCATCGCTGGTATGAAATTGATAGATACAACGGTTTCAACATACTACTTAGATGTCGAATCGGAGCGTCTCATTTCTACAGGATCGCTACGCCACAGTCTGGAAACAAAAGCAATTTTTCGCCTTGAAGGGAGAGGAACCACCGTTAGCGACCATAAATCCGATGTTCGACAAGTGACAAAGCCCAGAAAACAAAGCCCTTCTTGGCATAAGCGCGTTGTAGCCAAGAGATCAGAGTTTTCATACATTCGTAGTAAGCCCTTTACTAAGGCTGAACGCCCTCTCAATTCTGTTATATGGAATACGGATGCTTACCAAGGTCGAAAAACAGCAACTGCTCGAGAGTACATTTTTGGTGTTCCAGCTGAAAATCAAGGCAGCATATCACAGTTGGTAGAGAACAGGGAAATGAACACCCTGGACAATGAGGTAATTAAAGAAATGTATACTGATTCCGGGAATTTATCATCCCTATTTAATCCAACACTTCTTAATCCACTCACTTTAAGGTTTCGTGATAGCGAAATAGAGAAAATGTACAAACATCGAAATGCAAACCAAACGACACCAGTCTACATTGACTCGGTAAAGCTGGCCCCTGCTTTTGATACAATCTTCCTCTACATTTACGTTCTTTTATTCACCGCTGCCTACATAACTGCCATGGGGAAGGAATCATTGACAGGAATCCTCATCTCTGCCCTTTCTTGCGTTTCGACAATTTTGCTTACGTTGCCGGGCATCATTTTGATAAACTACGCAATTTTCCAAAGGAGTCCCGAGAGAGGTAGATTTGTAGAAAGGTTTTACCGTGTAGGCAGATCGAAAGTATTCACTGAGCTTCTCTGCTTTGTTATCGGTCTGCTACCAACAGTTGAGATCATCTTATTCCTCTTTTTTATTTCACCAAGCAAATTTTTTTATCCAAGGGACAGTATCATAATGTTTTTCGGACCTGCCGCCATCCTAGTCCATTGTCTGCCAGTATATTCGCCGTACATTGTTCGCTGCATTTCTTCTGGAGTATCAACCGCCATCTTCTTCCTATATATCATTTTTTTTGCAAAACTTAGTGTAATGTATCGGTCTGAGTACGCGTGGTTCTACGATGCCTCACACTTTCAGCCCTATACACTTGCCTCGTTGATGTCCATAATCGTCGCATGGATTCTGGTACTGTTTGTGGCTCGGCTAAACGAAATCACTTGCCGTCTGCGCTTCTTTATGGTTATGGAGGTGGAGAAAACTGCCGCATCTACGGCACGAGCGATGCAAGAATGTGATACTTTCATTTACAACGTAATTCCTATGCATGTAGTTCGAAGCCTGTTGGCTGAAGGCACTCAGACCTTAAAAATCAACTCTGTCAACCATGCTGCACTCGTTCCGCAGGTTGGAATTGCTTTTATCCGCCTAACCAACTTCTTCAATGGCTACTACCGCGAAGATTACCACGGCGGTAAGCATGCGATTGAGCTGTTGAATCAAATAATATGCATGTTTGATCGACGCCTGCGTAGACCTGAATACAATGAAGTGGAGAAGCTGAAAACCTACAACGACTCATACATGGTAGCTGCAGGTTTGGATTTAAGCCAGAGGGAGCAAAACTCGGATCAGACCACACATTTATTAAAATTGCTACGATTCTGCTTTAGCCTTTTTAGGTTAATTGATAAGTTTAATGAGAAGTTCATCCTGGGTAAGGATAATGCTTTTGGACTGGGTGTTGGTGTGGACGTGGGTCCAGTATGTGCTGGTCTGATCGGTTCGGTGCAGCCTTACTACCATGTGATTGGTAGACCAGCGGATATTGCCTATCTTCTGCATCTCACCTCCCTTCCAGGAAAAATTGTTGTCAGCAACAGCGTAAGGGTTGCACTGATTTCTCATTTTCGTTTTGTTGAGGCCATACTATCCAACCCCCCCAGAACTGAGGAGTCATACTACTATTGTGTCTAATTGTGGATTTTCATTTGTTAAATAAATATTTCGCTTAGTTGCAAATACAACCTTTTATTCATCCATTATGGTAAAGCTTTCATCGACGATTCCATTTTAAAGCAATGGTATCTGTTTTAACTGAGCTGCCTATGTCTAGACAAACGACTGGATGCTCATTAACGCATGGGTTACAACGTCCTCAGAGGTAACTTAACTGCCATATTTTATGGCATGGCTTCATTGTGTATCCTACAGTATCCCTCTCCTCGATAATGTTATGAGAGGGCAATCTTGACGATTTTGAATGTGGCGAATTCGTGTAATGAAGTTAGTGTGTGTACAAGGTTGGTACTTTACTATTGCTTCATTTCTACAGTTGAGCCTCCGGTAGGTTCATTGTATGTTAAAGCTATATTTGTGATGACAAGCATAGCTTAAAAGTAGTTTTTTCAAAAATTGCCTTGTAATCACCAACAAATTGGAATTGGTTGCTCTATAGCCCACCAAGGACCAGTGTAAACAGCGTTGAGAGAAATGTAAACCGAACCCGAAATGTAACAATCTGGCATTTGCGTGCTCGAAGTATGCATTAACAGAGCTACTTTATTACCCTGCAAACCCCTATAATAGTGACTTAAAGGCCAAAAGTAAGGTAACATCTCAGAACAAAAGTGAAATGAAATAAGAAGAATTATTATGTATCCAACTCAAACTCGAGTATTTTCGGTGCCAAGGAAAAATCAAGTGTCAAGTATCCTCCGGTAGTTTCATCCCTACATCAAAATATTACGGACAGAGTTAAGTAATTTCTTTGACATAACTATCTACCTCGAATAGCAAAGAAGTTCGAGTGCTTCAAAGAATTTTAAAATGGTGACTTTTGCTCACCTATTCCAGAAAAACTATAGAATTAATATAGTTAAAAAGCAATTGAGATCTAATGGTTGCGACCAGAGGGTAGTGCCACTCCATTTGTATGCTCTGTTGTCAAACCAAAAACGTTATTCTTTTATAGGAATAAAAATTTTGCTCATTGCAAACAAGGACACGGCACCATTATTTGTCCACAGCGGCCTTGACAAATTGCAAATTAGGAATAAGAAATTTATGTGGCTTTAACTATAATCCGAGGTGTTGCGAAACCTTTGTTCATGATCGCAAACGCTCCGCTATTACAGACTGGAGTTGTGAGACTGTATGTCATAAGTCCCTCCTGTTTGTGGGTCAATGTGCGCAATCCTTCAACGCATAAATAGTGAATCTTTTTTAGATGAATTACAGACATAATTTACTTATCCACTGCATAATCTCCACTACCGATTTAGAAATCATATCAAGAGCATTAGATACCACATAAATGAGAATTGGGTATGTGTGCACCCACGAGAACTGGTACATAAACAAAGCGATTTAGCCCACTCGGGACGCCCAAGTTTCGATAAACAAATAGATAAAGGTAAACATAGTTTATCGAAATTAGTGCACTGCTTACATTACCCAATAGAGATGTAAGATATTAAATGGTGGTGGCGACAATCATTTTGTGGGTTTCCTTTTAATATTTGAAGACATTATTATCTGGTTTAAGTAATAACCTAGTACATAAACGTCTGTTGATCTGCTTAAATCGGCCAATTTACAAAGCCTTACCACAAATTTACTTGCAGAAATTTTATTTTGAGGTGGACTGCTTCTATAATATCATGTAAGCGGTTTGGAAAGCACGGCTACAGACTTTTAATTATGCACAAAGAAGTAGCATTGGACTTCTCTGATTTGTTTATAACTGAACTTTTTGCCCAGCCTTGTAGCGGATACACGAGTTCCTAAGGCTGAGCACAGAAAAGAGGAAATCAGGCTAGATCATAGCCAGTTCTTGCGCTTTTGGAAATGGCATTTAATGCCCGTCGCAATAACTTGATCATCCGACTATCCACATGATTGGGTGTCACTTTGGTATTCATCCTGTTATTGGATGTGCGATAAAAGCCAGGGACCAACCAGTTCTGCTTCTCGCTGTTTACAAATGTTTAACCCCGCTTAATGCCTTTTACTACCCAATGGGAAGGCTCAGGACGTTACATCCATGTATTAACAAAATTGTCGCCAAATTTTAAGGAGTAATTGTAACGAAGCAATGAAATTCAAGTTAACCAAACAAATTATGGAGTCTCAAAATTCTCGCCATGAATAGTTTCTTAGTATTGCAGTCTGCCTGGTGTGTCAAAATTTTTCTTCATCTACACTCTTTAATATATTTTCCTCTTTATAAAATTTTACCTTTGGAGGTATTCCTCAACGCGTACTGCAGGGTTTTATTGGTAAAAATGTTAAAATGTTTGCCTCAGACTCTGCAGCATGGGGTAGTGGCCATGATTATGGTTAATGGCTACCCAGCGGGCAATGCAAATGGGCTCTTCACTATAAGTTGCAGTAATTAACACATTGAATGGCATCCACAGTTGAATTGCCGAAGGAGATTATTTGTAGTGCTGAGAAGGCAACCGACATTTTGCATGGGGGAAAAGTGATTTAAAACACCATTCTCATGACATGGTTCGAAAGCTAGGGAATTCCAACAACTCAGAGCCTCACCAGTGGCTTCTTATGATTTTTCTCGATGGTAAAACGTGTTATTCTGTTTCACATACTATACCATTTTAATGTTTGTTGAAAATAGTTTATTACCATTTGATTTGTATGACAAATACCCACCAGCTTTCTCATTTTTCATTACCGCTGTAACTTTCATCATTGCCATCTGGGCTTGTCCTTTATACCCTACATGACAAAGAAGCGTCAGGTGCTACCGCAACAAAATAGTTGACTTTGGCCTTGTGGAGAACCCCGTGCTAGCAGCACTTGAAAGTAGGGATAAAATTTCATCATAGTTCAAAAGTCCGTCAATCATGTCGTTTGGCAGCTGAAAGCAGTCACTGCAGTTTGTCCCAGTATATTTCTATTTGATACTGTCTTCCTTCGTTTGCAGGGACTTTTTGCGTGTTACAGCAGAAAGCACACCTTAAATTCCTTTTTATCAAACATCTCTTTTCTTAAACCAAGGCCATTGCGACTATTGGGATACATGGGTGATAAATCGCCAAAATTTCTCCTCCGAATTCAATTCAAACTCTTAATCCAATTGAATCGCCAGGACCAGTCGTTGGTGTTATACTCATGCGTCGTCTCAGCTACACTCAAATTTGAAGGCAGTTCATTTGAGTACATTTTGCTTCACAAAATCGACTTCGTTGTAATAGCCGAGGTGGCAGTTTGACGAAGAGGGTCAGCAGACACAGCGACCAGTAAGAGAAATGAGATGTGCAATGCTTTGACTATTTGGTTGAGTCCTTCATTTTAGTCACGGGGTACCAATGAGTGTGGCTATTACACTTCCGTTTTAGCAATTGCTGTTCAAACTCTTCTCTGCCTGGATAGCACATACTGGTGTTGGTACCACGCCTTCTCCCGGCTTCAGGGAAGTCTCTGAGCGTGCTCCAACCACAGCCAAACTTTACTTTGCCTTAATTTGTGCGTTTTCAAGTTAGCATAACTTAATCAAGTCTTTGCACTGTCTGGATAGGTTTTAAGTCACCAAATTCTAGGTTAAAGTGAAGAATAACATCATCTGTCTGAGGAGGTCGATTTTGGATGCAGTAGCACAAATTGATGTTGAATGACGTGAATCACCCTACAAAGATACGGTTTAAGGTCTTAGGTTGCCACTCAAGATAAAAGGGCACGTCGGAGTTCCAAGGTAATTACGATGCCGTTTCGCAAAATTATGCATCGACACAGCAGCCTTGTAAGACGCCTAAGTTTGCAGTTCAATCCATCGAACTGTTCCTCGAACAAAGATCAAGGCAAAGTTATTTTCTTCTGGTCACTGTCTCCCTCAGCTTTTAGATACCTAAACGTTCCGAAGTTTTAATGAGTGACAATAATATTAGTGCCAAGATAGTTTCGTCTCGATAATTCTCACTCTAGAAGGAGAACAACTAAGCATTCATTTGTTATTGGGTCGCAAAATGATTAAAATCAACCCAATGGCTACTTCAGTAAGAACAATCATAAAGTGTAAAGCATAGTTTAGCAACCTTGCATTTACGCTTACTCGAACAAGATGTTGGCAGTAGATGGAAGTTCTGCTTGGCTGTGGGCTGTTTCAACCGCCCTAATTACACTTCGGATAACTTCGGTGTCCCACACAAGTATGTCTTTTTTGATAAAATCCAGCCCCTAGTTCTAAAAAGCATGCCAAAACGAATTGGGTAATGGGCAACTGGTTGTACATTGGTAAACTCGCCTAATAGGAGCAGTGATTTCTGCAAAGAGAAGAATGAATCACATATTCTACGCCCTTTACGACCTACTTTCAATCCGATTAACCTGTCATGCCAAGGTGGGCTAATAGGGATCCTGCTACCACTGAGTCTTTTGTCGACATTATCCCCACTAGCGGTGGGCGGACTCATAGGGCAGAAAGCTTGCTATGCCGTTGTCGGTTGAGTAACAAGTTTTTCTTTTGGTTGAATACGTTTATTTTAGGTGAACATTCGGTTCTGACATCGGATACGCCCTCACCCACGCAGAACCAAACAAAATAGTTGACCAAAGGAAGTATGGCTTGTTAATACTTGGAAACCAAGCAAGTATCACCAGAATAGACCTACTTCAAAACCTTTGAAACCGCAATGAGGGTTCACAAGGCTCCCAGCTCAGCTTCCAAACCAGCCGCGGGGAAGAGACGCACCCACATCCCACCTATGGTTAAAGCTTAGCTGTTCATGAATCCCCCAGAGGACTGGTAGTATGTACTAACTGTGAAATTTTATTCAGCCCTCAACAGCAAAAGCCGTGCAGTGCCCTGATGTTACCCCTTCGAGCCTTATCCATGTCAATAATTGGATTATTTTCAGAGTAGCAGGGATGATGCCAAAGATGTTTTTGAAGCTGTAAATTAGGCAATGGACCAAACGTACAGCTCCAAGCAGCGCAACTCCGAGGCAAGTCAACACACGCCTTCGGCTTGTTCTTTTCAACTGACTTTGGGCAAAACTCCTCGCAGGTGCAAGACCTAACAAAGCTTTCGAGGTGTACTTCCAATGCCAGTTTGGAAAACCCTCACAGTAATCAGCAAGCTCACCGTGGCGGCTGATACAATACAACCGTCACCAGAATCCATTGCAGCGGCATTTAAAACGAGTTTGAGCCCACTACGCCGCATTCACACCACTTCAATCGATATCACAAGCTCAACAATCGACTGCAGAGCCTTCTGAGAGGGGCTCTGTCGCATAAATGAGTGCGTGCTAAAGTGAGAAGGGGGAATGCCATCATTGTTGCAGCGAGCACGTCACGAGTGCCGAGGCCAGCATAGTGAATAGACGAGTTACCATCACAGTTAGAACGGCACTGCAGCGACGACCCAGAACTGTCCCTGGCCCGGTTACCATCCCATAGACTGACGTTCTGGAGCTAAGCCACATCTAAAGCAGGCATATTCGAGTACAGAAAATAACCTGATGATCACGCCAAAACTCGCAACAGCCGGTTCTAGTAGTTGTTCTCGCGTTCATACTGTGCCGAAACTGACGCGACACACTATGTAATAAACAAACCCCTGAGCCAACTTGGCTTAAATGGGTGATTTGAAAGGTGAATAAACTCACGAGCGATATAGAATGCAGTACCACAACCAAGCAAAACCGCGGCGAAAAATCCCTGCAAACGCACCATTTCGAGGAATTATCCAAACACCTAAAGTGACGATCGACGGCAATTCTGAGGCTTAGAGATTTTCGAGAGTATTCAAGGACAAAATTTAATGAGGCTTAGAGTGTTGGTTACTAAAATCACACTATAAAAATAGTAAATGAGGAAAGGAGACAAAGGCGGATGTACAGTGAGAGATAATGGCATGCACGTGGAAAAAACCGCACAGACTTGTATAGATTATGAGACGTAAGAAGAGGAATCATTAGTGTCACTTCGGGTTAGTGGCGTCCAAGTTGGCGGTAGACGTTGGAGCCCTTTCAGCCGGATCGATTTCTTCCACTTTTTGAGCCTCTTTCATCTTCTTGGTCAGGTTGTCATTTCGACGCTGCATCTCTTGCATCCAAGGCGGTATTCCATTGGCAGTCAGATTGGCACGGGCGGCCTTCTTTTTCAAGGCCGTCTCACGCATCCATTCTGGCGCATCAGCACCATCGGTATTAATTAAATGCTCCCACCGGCGTTCAACATCTTTCGAACGCTCGTTTTCTAACTTCCGTCGAAGAGCCTCTGCCTTCCAGGCTGGAGGCTGTGACTGTCGCTCGGCTGCGGCCATCCCGACTACTGCTTAGGATGAACGCTCGTCTTCATACACGAGGCGAGAGTGGCTATAGTGCAACCGTACGCTTGCGTCGATCGTCTGCCACACGCACACCTGTCTGACCAATCATTTTGAAGGACAGTGGTCACGACCAGCCAATGAGACGCTAAACCTTAACCAATCCGAATGCGGGGTATAATGACTGGCAGCTGAATAATCCTCAACCTATTGTTAGGGTATGAGTTGGGCGCTTTCTTTCACGAACACGGAACTAAGGTCAATGATAAGGGTGTTCCAACTGTATTTTGTTGTTCGAAGTATAGCCGAGTTTACTACAGGGCACAGCTGAATTAACGTATCGCCTGCTTATGTGAAGTATCCAGCCATTTGGGGAAAATACTCATCATCGTAACTATTTTAGGGTTAAAATGAAAGAAATGAAGTCATTGTCCCATTTTTCGCCTCAAAAGGGGGTTATGCGTCTGGATCTGTGTGGTGATGACTGAAATGTACTAGTTTATTTTGTAAAAAGAGGCACTGCTTTCAAATTCTCTCACCTACCAGTACTTGCCGATCCGAGGGTAATACGGGTGTTGCGGGGTCGTGATTACTGTGTGCGGGATGAGGTCAACGTTATTTCACTTGTTTACGGAAGTTGTATCGTGAATGAAGGCCAAACAGTAAACTACTGAGGTGAGTGCGAGAATGTAGTAAATACTCCTTAACATAGACAAAATTTTTAAGTCAGTTTTGGAATGAGTACTGGTGAAAGCAGGGTATGCCTTTTGCGTTACTGATGTTGAAGTGCTTTAGGTTCTGATCAAACAACTTTTGGGTGAAAGCCAACTGGAACAGCAATTATGGAGGCAGAGTTTCAGCCTGAATGACAATTGAAAATCAGGAAACCAATATTTACCTCGCATTAGGCTTGTTTGTTTTTTTCCTCAAACTGCCTACGACGGTGATCACACAGGGCTTAAGCTAGCAGCACAAACGACTTGTTTTACCACTCAAGTCAAAGTACTTGCCATATTTATCACCATTGAAACGAAAATGTCTCTCCAAACAGATGGAACCATTGAATTCCATGCATAATGTTAGTATTTCTCCAAACTGAATGGAAGCAAGAGAAGCATCATCAGTGGGGGAGGCCTCTTTCTAGTGTTCGATGACAGCGGCCTTAAATGCCATACAATGGCATTCCTGAAAAAGTGCACTTCAACCTCATTTCGCCCTGTCATACAATCAAGATTTGTATTGTCGGCAGAAATATGAGTAGTCAAACGAGGTTGAACGTAGTGTTTGAAGTCTTCATCGAAGTTCTAGTAAGTCAAGTTGATGCGCCTTTCGAGTGCTAGTATATTCGGAAGGTTCAGTTAAGGCCCCACAATTAAAATTCATTTTATGTACTAGTCTTTGCCTAAAAGGGTGCTAATTCTAAAGCAGACTCATCAAACAAGAGGCTAAATTCCCACTAGTTTAGTGCTCCATGCTGCAAATTATTCTCAAAACGGTGTTTTTCAGACAGAGAGCTCCCAATCTAGCATATGGAAGAAATGTTCGCGTAAAAGCATCATTTAGTTACCGTAGTCAGCTGCATAATAGGCGTTTTGAAATGACTTAATGTCGTTTTCCTTCAGCTGTTAATGAGTTTTTGACGAAAAGAGAGTCTGACGACATTTAAACCCTTCAGATGGAGGGTGTTATAGCTTCATTCATCATTAAAAAATAAAACGTTAAGACCAAACTTGCTGTGCGGAAATCAAGATCCTCATTTTCTCCGTTTTGCAGAGCAATTGTGCTTGCATCTGCTAGCAAGGTAGAAGATGAAGGTTGTTTGATGGCTTGGAAACCGACGAAATTGAGGATAGAAAGTCGTAATGAGAAGCCAAATCTGATGCTGTAAGGATGCGCTCCGTATCCAGTCGCTGCGGTGACCCGACGCTGAAACATTAGAGA